TATATATATATACACACATTATGCAGGCTGCTCCGGGGAGAAAGGACTACCCCAGCCCTCTCTCATTGGAGTAGCTTAGGGCCTAGTGAGAAGCATTTCTCTGTGACTGGTGCAGTTCCAGAGGGCACAGCTGGGGGATGAATGCATGTCCCCCAGCTGAGGTAGGCCCAGGTTTGTCTGCCCCTTGCATGCCCCTGGCAGAGTGAGGAATGCAGCAAATTGTGCACTTTCCCCTCATTCCCTAACTAAGGGTAACAGCCAGCAATATTCCCATATGAATCAGAAGGAGAGCTTCAGCCCCTCCCACCCTCTCTAAAGGGCACCTGGGAGATGGGAAGCTCAGGCAGTCCTGAACAGGGGATGGTGGGGCTTGGGGGGGAATGCCCTCAGTAAGCCCCTTTCACCTGCCTAGTGATTCTGACTCTTTTTTCAATATAGTTTTCTGAGAAGCAATCCTATTCCAGGCACATCCCATTTTCCTGGTACAATGAAACCTTACCTTGCTTTAAGTAATAATAAGAGGAAGCTGCATACCAAATTTGGTGGTCCTAGCTCTTACCGTTTAGGAGGAGTTGAACAAACAGACATACAGAAACACAAACTCTCTCAAATATATCGTAGAAGGTAAAAATTCACTCACACATGCCAAAGGAGTGCTGCTTTAACCTCTGCTCTCAAGGTTGGCTGTTGGTATAGTGGCTTTGCAAAGAGGCCTCTCCAACATCCCATACCCAACAGTCAAAGGGCTCATCTAGACTACGCTAACGTGTTGAAAGAGGATATCACTTTTGAAAGTGGAGCTTTCGAAAGTGAAAGTAGTTTAGACATGGCTTTTTCAGGGAACCTCCCCTCCTTTTTCAAAAAGCCTCTCTTCCTCAAAAAATTAGGTTTATGCGGCTTTTTAAAAAAACAGGGGGTTCGCCGAAAAAGCTGCGGAATTTGCATATCCTCTTTCAACACTTTAGCATAGTCTAGATGAGCCCATACAGACTAGAGCTCATGGGGCTATAACATAAATGTTACAGTACTTGATTAGAGAGACACAGTGGCCCAAAATACCCATCCAGGGAGTGGAATGATAGTGAATGAATTTCAGAATAGACTAGAAAGAATTTAATTGAAAATATGCTTGGAGCCTCAACAAAGCCCAACTATTTGGGCTTAATATAAAAAGAAGTAAATTTCACCCACAAAGAAATTAAATATACACACATTCTTTACAAAAACACTTAGAAGTAATTCTCTATATCTTACGTTGTACATACCCACATTAAAATGAATGAGGCTGTGTCTAGACTGCAGGGTTTTTTCAAAAAAAGTAGCCCCGGCCCATCACAACACAGCCAGTCCCGCCCTAGTGAGGCTCTGCTCCTCCACGCCCCGCTCGGTGCGTCTCCTGCCGAGGCGCAGCTTGGCTGTTTTTTAAAATGGTGCTACAACGCCAAGCCGCGCATGACCCCGCCCTCTCCGGCTCGCTGTACGTGACCCCGGCCCTGGTGCAGCCCCGGCTCCTCCCAGCACTGCCACCTGGGCTGACAGCTTCCTTTCTCCAGCCAGGGTCAGCTTGCTGGCCTCCTCGCTGGAATCCCTCGGCCCATTGGGGTCTTCTGGCGGGGCCGCCAGTGCTGGCAGCACCCCTACTAGCTCCAGTGCAGAGCACACGCCTATGCTTTCCCTCTGTCCCGGGCTGGCAGAGTGGGGCCCCAGAAAGCGTGGTGCCCTTTGAGACTTCATACTCCACGTATGCCTAAGGACGGGCCTGTTGGCGGCCTGTAGCAGACACAAACCACAATATCACTGCTGTTGCTTACACCTCTAAACTTGACCCAGAGACTCTCAACAGGCTTTTCTCCTTCTGTATACTGGAGTTCTGAACAATCATAGCGCTCTCTTACATACAGTGCAACTCCTCCTCCTTTTCTCCCTTGCCTGTTCTTCCTGAACAGTTTATATCCTTCCATGACAGCGCTCCAGTCATGAAAGTCATCCCACCAAGTCTCTGTTATCTCAAACAAATCATAGTTCGTGAACTAGGCCAGAGCCTCCAATTCTTCCTGTTTGTTACCCAGGCTTCTCGCATTGGTGTACAAACACCTTAGATAACCAGTTGATCACCCAACCCTCTGCATTTGAATCATGGGTCCTCCTTTGTTGCTCGTTCCTCTTTGCAGTCCTTCCTGATATCTGAGAAAAAAAGCACAAACGCCTCTTGCGCTAAAATGGCCCCTAATTAATTATGCAAATGAAGCGTGGCCACATGCTAAGCCACGCTTCATTTGCATAGGCTTTTGCACAAGAGAGGTGCAGTGTAGATGTAGCCTATTGGTAATGCAAGGGAAAATCCTTTGCCACTGATACTCTAGATGTGCACACACCTGGAGTGGATGGACATATGCATTCAAAGAACAACTGTAACCCTAAAAATAGATACTATATGCAGTATTGAGACAGTGATGAATATCTATTACCTGAGCTTTAATTAAATCTTTCATTTTCTGATTTTCACTTCCTTTTTTAGACTGAATAAAAGAAACTCTCCTTGCTTCCCTGTAAATAACAACATATGTTCATATTAGCAATGTTTAATACTGAAGCTATTGATAATGCAGACAATCTAAGAACTTTGATAACCAAATGTTCACTCTAAAAAGCGAGCTTAGATTCCAATTTCATTCTTCTTATTCCAAGTTATAAATAGAGCAATAACTTGAGAAGCAATTTTAATTCTGCAGAGATGAAAATTCAAAGCCATTCAAATAAACTAATGTTAATTACCAAATAGAAGTAACTCCTCTAGTACATACATTTTTGTGATATGCATGCCCTGGAACAGTAGCTCAGAACTTTCTTTATAGCAATGTCCCACGTGGCCATCCACAGTAAGACTGATCCAAATATTAAGACTGAACCTATGTCTACACTTTGAACTGAAGGTGTAATTTCCAGCTCCAAGAGACTTACCTATGCTGGCTCTGATTAAGCTAACACACTAAAAACAAGAGTGTAGACAGCTGTGCAAATAGGAAATACTGGTCACCCCAAATACAATACCATTGAAGATGCTAGGCACTTCCTTGTGACAGCTAGCTGCATCCTACATCTCTGCTATTTGTGCATTCTGGCTATATTAAATTTTTAGCCCACTGGGGTACAGCTAGACTGTGGGAGGGAGGGAGGAAGGGAGGGATACCTCCAGTATCCCCAAAAAACCTCTGCTGCATCCAGGGAGCGCATTTGCACTTCCACTTTTTTTTGTGGAAGTGCAAACATGCTCTTTCGGAAGCTCCTGCATTCCTTGTTCCATGAGAAAGAAGGGGGCTTCTGAAAGAGGGTTTTTTTTCTGACATTTGGCCCAGTTTAGGTGGGCCAAATGTCGGAAAAGCCTCTTCCAACAAAATGATCGGAAAAAGCTATGCAAAATGCGACACAAAATTGTAGTCTAGCCATATCCTAGGTGAATCAGAGTTAATACAGATATGTTTTCTTGAGCTGGGAATTTTAGCTCTAGTTCAAAGTATGCACATACCATATAAGTATATAAAGAAATGCAACTCCATCACCTTTCATTTACTTTTGCCACAAATCAAGACCAACAGTAAATTCTAAATACTAGTAAAGAAAGATAAAAAGTAGGAATACATGCAGATAAATACAGATCTCCTTCACATATGTTTTGTATGAATCCTCATTTCAGCAACTTTAACTAGCAGTGCAAACCTCAAAGAAAGAAGGAGCTGGAGCATACTTGAGACTGTACACTACATTAATGCATTAGACATCAGTTCTAGTCACCAACTCAAGTTGTAAACAAGTACAAACAGAATGCCAAGTAGCAGCTTCTGTTATCTCCTAGATGGACACATTTCTCAGACATGTAGCAGAAATTGCTTCAGATTTTATATAATGTAAATCTAATGGATGTTAGGAATAATTAAAAAAGGGATATAGAATAAGATGGAGAATATCTTATTGCCCTTATATAAATCCATGGTACGCCCACATCTGGAATACTATGTACAGACTAGCCAATTAGCCCATCATAAGATGAGATTTTCAGGTCTCTCCTCCATGTCGGTCTTCTCTCCTGAGCCTCCGGTCTCTTTCTCTCTCTCTCCTCCTCCTATTGCCACCCCCTCTTTCTCTCAGCTCTCCTCCGCCTTCTGACTTTCTCTCCATCTCTTTCTTTCTCTTCTCCCCCACCTGCCTCTCACTCCCACTTTCTCTTCTCCTCCTCCCTCTCTCCTCTCTCCTCTGTCTCCATTGGGGATGCATGAGCGGGGCGGGCAGCACCCCAGGTGCACATGCCCGGGTGAGTCCGGCTCCATGGGCATGGTGCATTCCACAAAACATCCACCTAATCAACCTACCTATCAGGTAAAGAAAATGTGCTGGCAGACAACGTCAGCAGACACTTTCCACAGAACCACGAATGGGAACTCAACTCTTCGGTGCTGGTTCCTCTGTTCAGACAGTGGGGATTCCCCGCAGTGGACTTGTTCGTAACTCATTCGAACACCCAATGCTGCAACTATTGCTCCAGGGTAGTGATAGGCCACCACTCTCTAGGGGACGCATTCAGTGTAAAATAGGAAATGCCCCTGCTATATGCATTCCCATGTTTTCACTCCTTCAACAGGTAATTCTCAAAATAAAACAGGACAAGGCCTGGGTCATTCTCATAGCCCCCCGGTAGGCCCAGACAAACATGGTATCTGTACCTGCTACATATGAGTTTAGCTTCTCTGTGGTGCTTCCTGCCAGTGTCATCTCTGCTCACACAAAAGAACGGACAGCTACATCTTCTCAAGGTACAGGCTCTCCACCTCCAGGTGTGGCTTCTGGCTGGCTGCTTCCTCCTGAAACTGCATGTCCTGCATCTGTACGGGAGGTCATCATGAACTGCCATAGACCCACTACAAGAAAGATATATAAACATAAATGGCATAGTTTTACAGTATGGTGCTCTGAACACAAATGTCCACCAACATCCACAGACCTCCCACACATTGCTGCTGCTTGCTCCCCCGCCACGGCCCAGCTGAATGGCACAGAACTCAGCCGAGAACCATGGCGGAAGGCAGGAACTCACAGACATTGGGCTACTATATAAATGATGTGGTCTCCTCATCTCAAAAAAGAGATACTGGCATTAGAAAAGGTTCAGAGAAGGACAACTAAAATTATTAGGGGTTTGGAACAGGTCCCATATGAGGAGGGATTAAAGAGACTGGGACTTTTCAGGTTGGAACGAGGAGACTAAGGAGGGATATGATAGAGGTATATAAAATCATGAGTGGTTTGGAGAAAGTAAATAAGGAAAAGTTGTTTACTTGTTCCTGTAATATAAGAACTAGGGGCCACCAAATGAAACTAATGGGCAGCAGGTTTAAAACAAATAAAAAGAAGGTTTTCTTCACACACTGCATAGTCAATCTGTGGAACTCCTTGCCTGAGGAGGTTGTGAAGGCTAGGACTATAACAGGGTTTAAAAGAGAACTAGATAAATTCATGGAGGTTAAGTCCATTAATGGCTATTAGTCAGTATGGGTAAGGAATGGTGACTCTAGCCTTTGTTTGTCAGATGGTGGAGATGGATGGCAGGAGAGAGAACGTTTGATCATTACCTGTTCGATTCACTGCCTCTGGGACACCTGGCATTGGCCACTGTCGGCAGACGGTACTGGGTTGGATGGACCATTGGTCTGACCCAGTATAGCCATTCTTATGTTTTTATGTTCTTATTCCAAGGCTTTCTGATAGAGAAACTTACACAATCATGAGTGTAGTGATAGAAATACAGGACTATGTAGCACTTTAAAGACTAACAAGATGGTTTATTAGATGATGAGCTTTCGTGGGCCAGACCCACTTCCTCAGACCAAATAGTAGAAGAAAATTGTCACAACCTGTCACATTACCGAATTGGAGGGAAGCAGCCAGATCGCTGCTGCACCCCTAGGTGGGGGTGTTGGCCCCAGAAACTGGTATAGGGGGGAGCCATGTGGGGTATTGAATGGAAGCTTATTGTTTGTTGATCCTGTGTACACTGTTTATGTGAGTATATAATGTCTGTGTGTGTAGATAGGAATCTGTGTGGAAGCTGAATATTTCTTGGAATGTGGTTAAGCATTGCTATGGACAGGCTGAGTAGCGAAGCCCTGTGGAACAATGGCACTTGATGGGCCAAAGACACACCTAAAGCAGGAGGGCGGAGACCCAAGAACTTGCTGCAGACTAGAAGAGGCCAGGAAGGAGTATAAAGAGGCCATGTGGTCGATGCCATTTTGTTCTCAGCTCAGCACTTCATCCCAGAGGCAGCACTGCAGGGATTGAAGAGCCCGGAAGACCTGTGAACCCATCCTGATCGTAGGATGTGCAATAAGAACTTTTAAACCAGCAGCTGCAACATCTCTGCTAGAGCCTGCATCGAGAACTGGGAGATTCGGTGCATGTAACGTACTGTACTTTAATAACCTTACTCTCATGCTTTTCTTTCCTGTAATAATAAGCCTTTAGATATAGATTCTAAAGGATTGGCCCAGCGTGATTTGTGGGTAAGGTCCAGAGGGTAAATTGACCAGGGATCTGTGGCTGGTTTCTTGGAACCGGACAGAACTTGTTCGGGGTAGGTGGGATTGGGTGCTAGGACCCCCCACCTGTGTATTGGCCCGGGGCCATCTGGGGCACGGATATTGCGGGGGTGTCGGAGCCTTTAGATATAGATTCTAAAGGATTGGCCCAGCGTGATTTGTGGGTAAGGTCCAGAGGGTAAATTGACCAGGGATCTGTGGCTGGTTTCTTGGAACCGGACAGAACTTGTTCGGGGTAGGTGGGATTGGGTGCTAGGACCCCCCACCTGTGTATTGGCCCGGGGCCATCTGGGGCACGGATATTGCGGGGGTGTCGGAGGGGTTTTGCTCGGGAGGCTTCATGCAGGTTGCTGAAGCGCTCTGTGGGACTGGTTTGTGGCCTGTTTGGAGAGGTCACCAGTCAAGGGGGCTGTAAGAAGCCCTGGATTTGAGCAATTCGCCCTGAGCGGACGCCCTCAGCTGTGCCCAGACACGGCCCGGTCTGTCACACAACCATATATACCAAAGGATACAATTTAAAAAAATGAACACATATGAAAAGGACAAATCAAATTTCAGAACAGAAGGGGGATGGGGGGGGGGAAGGTAAACGTCTGTGAGCTAATATTAGAGGTGATAATTGGGGAAGCTATCTTTATAATGGGTAAGATAATTAGATTGTTTATTCAGACTCAGGTTTAAAGTGTCGAATTTAAGCATGAATAACAGTTCAGAAGATTCTCTTTCAAGTGCAGTCTTAAAAGGCTTTTGAAGCAGGATGCAGGTAATTAAGTCGTTGAGTGTAAATATGCATCAGACTGCTTTCACTGGATCTATCATATACTACAAGAGGTTGAGAGTATTTGTAAACTGATTAGTTTTGATACCTAGATTACACAGTCTGGCTTTTTTTGGCAGTCAGAGGCTCAGGGCTCTGTGCACGGAGCTGACTGACTGGACGGGGCTGATGAATCACGT